CCCTTCGATGCCAAAAGCAGGGAGATCGTGCGATAGCTCTAGGTAGTACGCAATGACGATTGCCAAGTCAAGGAAGCGGGAATCTGGCTTGAGCTCGCCTGCTGCTTCGATGGCCGCAAGCACGGTGAGTAGTGCGCAGCCCATCAAGCCGATCATTTCGCAGGTTGTGTCGCCGTCTTCGTTGTTGATGAGCGCGGTGATGTGCTCGTTTTCGTTCAGCCACAGTCCCACTGCGCTGATGACGGACCACATCTTCTCGATCCGGTCCTTTTTAGCATGAAAGCCTTGATTGAACTCGACCATCTTTGCGCTGTTAGCTCCCAGCTATCATGCGCAGCTAACCATTGCACTTACCATGTTCTCCATGATTTCTTGCATTCCCCATCCTTGCCAGTCTGTATACAAATTCATCTCAAAGGCATCTGGGTCGCAGTACTTCGCCTTCCTTCCCAGTAGATCCGCCTTGAGCCAGGCATCCCACAACATGACCCATTTGTGCTCCGGATGTTTGCTCGCCGGTGCTTTAAAGAGGCCATTCTTTCTAAATTTATCGTCGATGGGCTTGTAGAGCTTTTTGAAGATCTCGGATTTAGATGAGATGAAGGCGTCCGGGTCCAACGTCCAGTTAAGATAATTCCTGCCTTCAATGTCGAAGAAAGGATGCGGTATACAGATGTAGTCGTACGGTGCTGGATCGGCGGACTTAGCCGTGCTGCTGTTCTGCTTGTTTTTCTTCTGCTTGTCGTTCTTGTTGGTGCGCACCGACTCAAAGGCGGAATCCGAGCTCTCGCTGCCCGAATCTTCCAGGAAGACGCCGGAATCGCGCGCGGTCTTCTGTTTCTTCGCTGGAGGCATTTTCACGTGGAATATGGGACGGGACAGGTGCTCAATGATATGTATTTGATGGGAATAGATAGTTAATCGATGATCTTGATGGATTGGAGGTGTGTGTTGATGAGGTTCATCCGGGTGTTCGTGGGATCATGACATCAAGGGGCTTCGTCATCGCTCCGAGACCCCTGAACAACGCGAAACTCTCACGATCGCACGTGGATGGCGTTTTGTGGTATTGCGACGCGTTTGGCGACGCAATATTCTCCGTATCTTGGAGATTCTGATGAACTCCATGAAGCTCGCCGCCTTATGTGACATTGCAGTGTCCACTTGGGAGGAAAGATGGTAGAAGTGATGGCAGAGGGTATACATGCAGCGGGGTGCGTCGGACGGACGCGTCGAGGGAAGCTTGTGCCCCAACCAGCTAGCGCAACACCACAACCGCGACCATCCATGGATATCGGCTCGCACTATGTACTTTCCAACGAACCAGCACGTCCTCTCTCCCTACAACTACATCACATCTCCAAAGAGTATTGCCGAGAGCGTCATCTCATACAAGGAGGAAACCAAGCACCCAGGAGCCTACGTCTTCGTCAGATCTTCCAATTTGCTTCTTATATCATGCTGTAGTCTGCAGACCTGTCTAGTCCTTTGTTTCCAACAAACGCTGCTGCATCTGGGACGTGAGTTTGGGCTGTTGCTGAAGAAGCGCCTGATGTCCTTTTACGAGCAAGTCGCGAATGCCCTCCTCTCGTGCATCGGCGAAAGTCTCAATGATCCGATCCCAGAGGCCGCACGGTCACTTACAGCTCAAGCATTCAAAACGCGCGTAGGGTACCGACTGTTCGTGACCTCATACAATGATCACGGACGTCGACGATATCGAAACAGACCTTGGTGTTGGTTGCCCAAGTCGTTGGATACCAATGGCTACGATATAGTCCTTGTTGTGATCGAGTAGCAGATGCAATGCTTGCTCGGTCGGCCGCTCGTCGCGTGATACGACGGCCTATGGAACCGAGATGTATACCGGCTTTTACATACTTGCAGGTCGGAGCGACTCTTCCTAAGAGTCCCAGACGCCAGCACGTCTGGAAATCTCTGTATGCGTGAAGTATGCGCATGGGAGACGGAACGGCGCAGGTTGTGTATGGAAGTAGTGACTAGGACTTCATCGTGGCGTATTCTGCCTTTACTCTGCAGCCTACAAGAGCGCAGAAGCAAGGAACTGAGAACTTCAAACAGCGATGTAGACTTCCAGGTCCTCTGTTGTTACACTGGTCGTTCTTATAGCGTTTTGTTGTAGTAGGTACGCACGATGCTTAAGCTGCGTGAGACGTGCCACGGATGAACTACGTGGAAGAGAAGGCAGATGTTCGGATGAGAGACTACGGCTTTTTCATGCCAACCGCTTAGTGCCCAGTGGCCTGGGTTCTTTCACAACACCAACTGTTTCTTTCGTTCGCGATAATGCCTTATAATTGTGTAGGCCCTGCTATAACCAGCTAGTAGATTAGAACTATGTATGTTACTGCCAGCTTAATTGTTCTGCCACATACCGGCCTGCACATGAAGCCAAGAAGCATTGAACTGTCAACCAAAAAATATGTCAGTTAATTTCGATCTCCAAAAACATAAGCATACGTAGCGAGCCTACGACATTGGTAACAGCAAACAGCCAGGCTGCTGGCAAAAAAAACTGCCCCCTGGCAGGATCGAACTGCCGACCTCGGGATATCTGCTCCATCGAACAGTCATATGTGTAGATATGAGACCCACGTGATAACCAACTACACCAAGGAGGCTTTTTTTGGCAAACCTCAATCTCAGAATGAGTCGGGTGCCTGCACTAAGCGATGATTTGATGGCAGAATTCCGAATTAGGCTGAAGATATTTCATCGCTCACCGGTCGCTCCTGCCGCCGCTGCGCTCGCTCCTTCCTCTGTTGACCCAAACATCCCTGTCATGTCACCCTTCACCAACCCAAACATCCCTACCACCCCACCCTTCCCATCCTATTCTACCAAAAAAAGCTGGGCACACGTTTGAGTACATAACCCAGAAGCCTACATTGCCTTAAAATCTAGCGAAAAGGTTGTTCTCATCTTGATGTAGTCTGCAGAGCACCTGTTGAGTTGCACCTTGTACGAGGCACTCCGACTCTCCGACCTCGGCCTATCTTATCATGCACGCTAAAATTTTGGGCAGTTGCGTCACGCCCAACAGTCACGATTGATGCAGTGAGGCACTGGAGTTTGTTTTCCTGACTTTTGCAATTGACAATGGCTTCACGAATGGCTTCGCAGCGCGTATGCGCTACATTGCGCGCATCTCGCATCAACTACGTCCCCGCGCGGTTCGCTTCCGCAGCCTCTGCGGTTAGGGGGTCCAGTCTACCACAGGACGTGAAGGACGCCATAGCCGTGAGTACCAACCTACACACGCTCTGCAACGCCCTCCATAATGACACTCTATAGCGCGACTCCACACTACCTACACCCGACCCGCCCTCATCCTCCAAGACAGCCGGCCTCGTCAACCAGCAATTACCGTACATGGTCCCGACCTATGTCCGCCCACCACCGATGTTCGAGAAGGGAGAGGGGTGCTGGATGTGGGATATCGAGAACAGGAAGTACCTTGACTTCACAGCTGGTATTGCCGTCAATGCGCTGGGGCACTGCGACCCCGGCGTAGCGCAGGTTATTGGAGAACAGGTACGTCCGTCACCACTACATCGATTGCGGCTTGCTGACATCCTCCCAGGCCAGGCAGCTCATGCACACCTCGAACCTCTACCACAACCCGCACACAGGCTTGCTATCGAAACAGCTGATTCAGCTCACGCACGCGACCGGAGGCTTCGCCAGCGCCACTCGTACATTCATATGCAACAGTGGTTCCGAGGCCAACGAGGCCGCCATCAAGTTCGCGCGCAAGGTCGGAAAGTCAATGTCACCGGACAAGGAGAAGCACGAATTCGTTTCGTTCCACAACTCATTCCACGGCCGGACCATGGGCAGTTTGAGCGCGACACCGAACCCGAAATACCAGACACCGTTCTCACCGATGGTGCCCGGTTTCAAATATGGCACTTTCAACGACGTGGAAGCGATCAACGACCTGGTCACCGACGCGACATGCGGTGTCATCGTGGAGCCGATCCAGGGAGAGGGCGGCGTGAACGTTGCCACACCCGAGTTCCTTCTCGCGCTCCGAAAGAGGTGCACGGAAGTCGGTGCCGTCTTGATCTTCGACGAGATACAATGTGGTCTAGGCCGGACAGGTACCTTCTGGGCACACGGCGGCTACCCCAAGGAATGCCATCCCGACATTGTAACCACAGCCAAGGCGCTCGGCAACGGATTCCCCATTGGCGCGACTATCGTCAACGACTTCGTCTGTGACAACATCAAGACTGGTGACCACGGCACCACCTTTGGCGGCAACCCCCTTGGATCCCGCGTCGCTTCATACATTTTGTCTCGTCTCTCATCACCAGAGATTCTCGACTCGATACCCGCCAAGGAGCAGGCATTCCGCAAGCACTTTGACGCTCTCCGACAGCGCTTCTCCAGCCAGATCAAGGAGGTCAGAGGCAAGGGACTGATCTTGGGTCTTCAGCTTGATGTCGATCCTACGCCTATCGTTACTGCTGCTCGTGAGAGGGGTCTGTTGATCATCACTTGCGGTACAAACACGCTCAGATTCGTTCCTCCACTCGTGATCACCGAAGCGGAGATTGAGGAGGGCATGCAGATCTTGGGACAGGCGATGGAGAGCGTATGGGTCAAGCATGAGGATGTTGAGGGCACAGACGGTCAGCAGGAAATGCGGTAATGCATATCCTGATTAGCATGGCGTTCATCGGCGTTGGAGACGGGTAGCATTGTACATATTTCACCAAAAGTCAAGGCATTAGAAGGACGATCGCAAGTTGTATGAAGAATTGTATATTGTCATACGCTGGGTCCTTTTGGAGTACTGAAGCAAGACTGAGCAAGGCCGAAGCCAGCTCTGACGGGTATAGTACATGCAAAGTAACTACCAAACCTAGTGTCAGGAAACTCGGTTGGGCGAGCCCGTCCTTCGAAGTAAAAGTAAGAATGAAATGTATGCCGTGGCATAGCTCCAGAGCTGCATCAGTCAGATCTCTCGTGCGTCAACCATTGCCGAAAATGCTAGCGACTGGTTGGGACGATACCGGGCCAGCAGCTTGTAAGCCACCATTTTGAGCAAATCCTCGCACCGGCAGACCAGTGCCAGCACTTGATCCAGCAGGTGCATTCACGCTGTTGGCGTCGCTCGTACTGCCATTATGTTCTTTCTTTACGCCCTTTGTCGTCTTCGCCTTTTTCTGCGGTCCATCCTTAGTCTTCTTATCTGCGCCTCCATACCGATGGTACTTGTGCCGATTCGGCCGCCCAAAGACCTGCTGCGGTGTCTGCAATAGCGCAAAGCTAGACAACCCCTCGCCCTCGTCATCACCCACAGGCAGGATGTGAGCATTTTGGATGATCTCGATGATGCCGGCGTCGTCTTCAAGCTCCTTCGCTTCTTGGTGGTCAGCACGAGACATTTTCTTCGCGCGATTGAAGATCGCATGCTCGATTGTGTTCTCGAGAACTAGGGTCTCGACAAGTACGTCTTTTGTTTGTCCAATGCGATGGGCTCGTTTGATGGCTTGCGCTTCGATGTTTGGCCTGTTGATCGGGTTTACAATGAGTACGATGCTCGCCGCGTTAAGGTTCAGCCCGAGGGCACCACATGCGACGTCGATGAGCAAGACTCGCACATCTGGGTCTTCGTTGAACAGTCGTACGTACTCGGATCGCAGTGAGTTGTTTAGAGTTCTCGCGTAGATCCTGTGGTTGACATACATCAACTCAAGACATTGGGCGATGTAGAACGCCGCGTTGTCACCATCGTAGAAGATGATGATCTTCTCTTTCTCCTGGTGCTGCATCACCTTGTCCAACAGATATGTAAGTTTGGCCGATGTTGTGCCAATGCAGCGTGTATTTCGGAGATCGGAGTCTGCAGGAAGATCCGCTGTCTCGTCTGCGAAGGTAAGCTTTCGCTTCTTCGTGCGAACGGGTGATGCGATGTCCGGGGTGTCTTCAACGCCATTCACATCGCTAGATCCCGTTGACTTCTTAGGAGGAGATTTGCTCGCGATGGCTGATGTCCGACGACTAGTCGGTGGCTGTTGACCCTTCACCAGCGAAGTAGGCACTCCTGTCCTCTGCAGCGGCAAGCCATTGACTGTGCCTTCGCTTGACGCTTTGAGCTTACCCTCTTCCTCTGCCATCGCAATGGCCTTTGCTTTTGCTGCATATCCAACAGCATCCAGCCCGACCGTTGGATCTGAAGACCGGATGCTGCTATCAACGTGGAGTTGGCCCTCGATGAGCTGCGTGACACCAACCACGATGGGCTCCGCCGGGTAAACAAGTGCGAATGCCTCTCGCGCCGCTTCTGGCCAACGGTTGACAGCCATACCCACTTCATGAGATGTACTCAATGCAATCCATTCAGCGGAAGCCGTAAGCTTTGACACGATTTGGCTGCTCTCCAGGAGGGATTGCGCGTCCTCGAGCGAGCAGTTCTTGTCCTCTTTGGAAAGGTACTTATTGCTAGTTTCAAGCGTGGCGACTACATCTGAGAGGCTGAAACCTGTCCAGGTAAAGTTGGACTGCCGTAAATTTCTGATGAGACTGTGACGAGCTTTCACGCTGTTCTTGTGGAATAGATAGTCGACATCGGTCCGCTCGCTCGTGATAGCGTTTGCTCGCAGAACTTGGATGAATAGATTGGCCGTCATCTTATCAAACCAACATGGCTTGAGGTATACGGTTCTGTGTCGCATCGGGGGTAGGACAATGTCCTTCTCAACATCCTCTGGGCGCGTCTTCACAACTAGTCCTTCCAATGCTCGGACGAAGCATGAAGAAAACCCGGAATAAGTCTTTCTGTACTGGTGCTCGTGGCGATAAACGTATTCATCCCAATCGAGCTTACCTTCGGAGTTCTCGCACCACGGTCGAACCATGAGGAAATGTGAAGCAAGCGTACCCAAAGCTTTAGCAGCTTTGGAATTCTCTGCGTCATGATTGAACGTCTTTCTCTTTTCAATGGCAAGTTCGCGCTGTAGTACCGCGTCGGTCTCCGGATCGACGGTGGACATGTCTACCTCCACACCGACCAAACTTTTCGCAGGTGCTTTGAACCAACGTCAGCATCTGTACACATTACAGAATTCGTACGACTTACTTCCTGATACCACCCAGCGTCTCTCCGCTTGTATCTGCTTAGCGACAAGTACAGCATTCGAGACAGAGCTCGAGAAAGAGTGTCCTTCATCGATAACGATCCGTAGCCAGTGTATCTTCTTCAGTGGCGATTCGTACACTCTATCGGTGTCGACGCAACTGCAATCTGGAATCCGAGTTGCTCCGATGTAAGGGCAGTTACAAACGCGAGAGGCTCCAGAGCCCATGCGTCGTCCTTGTTCATCTTGACCGTCTTGAATCTCTTGTTCGAAGCGGTTGCGGGTGAATAGAACCACGTCAAACTTCATGAGTTCAGTGGGAGCTGGAAGTTCGCTTCGGAAGTCCATGGTCTCGTCGGTGGGATGGGTAATCTTGGCGCGCTTGGGCACAGAGTCAACGACGAGAATCTTGAGGCCACCCGGAAGGACGTGCTTTTGTATTTCGGACTGCCATTGGTGGAGTAAATTCCGCGGTACGACAATGATAGTAGCGGAAGAGAGCACTAATTGACGTGTTGGCGGTATTCGGGTATTCCTATTCATGCGTGGGATGTCTGGTGGTATCTCGTAGAATGGAACATTTCGATCCAGCGCATCTTTGATGCTTGTCATATCTCCAGCCCCATTCGCCTCAGACTGCTCGAGGAAGGATGCCATTGGAACTGAATGTTGGCCAGCGGAAGACATCGCCATGTCTGCCAACGATCCAGGTCGCTTGCGACGAGGAGGTAATGGTCGGTATGCGGCTGGAATCTTGGGAAGATGGCCCTTACTTGCCAAGATAACGGCCAAGCAGATCACCGTTTTCCCCAGGCCCATGGTCTCTGCCAGAATACCACCCCGGTTCATTTCGTAGTAGCGCGGCTCTTGTAGAAACGATCCATCTCGAGGCCCGAAGTAGAACTTGTTACCATTAGGCGAAGTACGAACCTCTAATCTTGGATCAAGCTGCAGCTGCGGCGAAGCTTCCCGTTGCAGCATCAAGCTCGCCGACCGTGTCTGATACGCGTATAATCTGGTCTTGAGCCCCGGTAGAGCCTGTTCACCATGCTCCGACCACTCGGAAACTGCCGCAGACTCTAGTACATCTTGTACGGCGGCACGTGTATAGCGACACTTGATCTTTCCCACGTCTGGCGCAGGTGATGGCAGCTTGTTGAAAAGGTAGTATAGCGAGAAAGGTTCTACATCAGCCCAGGGATCAAAGTGACGCGTCTCATCAGGATTTGAGTCTCCATTCCAAGCACTCGGTGAGATATCAATTTGTTGGAGCAGTGTCCGCAGAGCGTTCTTCAGGCTCTTGCTGTTACGGTCAATCGTACGACGACCCCAGTCTTCTGGCAAAAGATAGATGCGAAGAAGGTCGTGATCAGACGCATTACCAGGCGTTCCTTTACGCGCAAATATCCGAATCCAGTGCGCTTCAAGCAGCCGTGATGCTTCAATGCCGACGTTGGCCTTGATCTCGTCGGGAAGCTCTTGGTGCAGTAACTCGACCCAATCACCACTCGATGGTGAGATTGAACTAAAATCGAATGTGTGCTTGGAGTGAAGGCAGCCAAGTGCGATGTATCGATCCATGTTCCGTGCACGAGTCTCAAGACACTCCACGTTTTCGGAGGCTGATAAGAATCCTGGGGTGGCGGGCGTAGATGATCCGGTAGCAGCAGAGGCTCGCGCTGAAGATGAAGATATGGATGTAGCATCGTCACGGTCGTTCATTTGCTGATCAGCTGAATTGTCCATGTTCTTGCGTCCGGCTCGATGATCATAGCTGCTGCTAGTCGTGCCACATGACGTGGGCGACGTGATTGTTGTAAGTCCGACCATCATATTCGTTCGTTGTCATCAAAGCCAACAAATACGGCCGTAGAGCCCGAACACTGCGCGACAGGAATTCGAGTCAGTGATGGTAGGTGTGTTGCAGGTGAGACGGGAGGCGACTGCCTAGATGCCAAGTAAACGACAGTCGCGTTCCGCGCTAACCCAAATCGTTAGCGCGACTTTCCACATGTGCAGTATCGCGTCCTGACTTCTTCAATCAGGGCAACCTTGAATCTCCAGATAGTACCGAATGTACAATGTTGTGCCATCTCGGTGGTTTCTTTCGACGGATGTAGAACGACAGTGATGCAGATCCGTTATATCCGGTGGTAAACATCTCTACGCGTGACGCGACCGTAATTAATCTGCTATATTGCAGACTGGGGTCACGTAATGCGAAGTTGCGATCACATATAAAGAGACCTAGGGACTGAATCGAGTCCCAGTCTTGGAGATCGGAGCTTCAGATCATTCTTCGCGATGTTGTCGTTCTTCGCTCAAATCTTGTTAGTAGCATCGGGCGCACTCGCTGCGCCGGTTGAGAATGCTCAGAGCGCCGCAGCAACTGTAGGAAAGATACGTGGCGTTCGCGACCCGATTTACCATCTATACTTGCAAGCAAGCGCGAAGAATGGTATGCTGATTTCCTTCTCTTGACGTTCAGCTTTACTACTTCTCCAGAAACTTGTTAATAACACGTGTAGCATCGATCCCTGTTCTGGGACCCGAAACCGCAGCTGACGAATTTACCATCGGCGGCACCATACAATCGAAAAAGACAAGCCAGTATCTGAACATTGCGACCGCATCGACAAGCTACAAGCCGTTGGTATGGGGAGCCACTGGTGAGACTACGGCGTGGGGATTGGAGGGTGATACTATCATTACTGTGCAGAGCAGTAGCTATGGGCGACGTAAGTACTCAGGAAGGAGGCATGTTCGGCTCATTGTCGGCAGTGCTAACACGCAGCCTAGAGCTAAACTTCCTAGTATGCAAATCGGCTGAAGCGAGTTACTACGATCTGTACTTGCAGACGGGGAGCGATACGCCGAGTGGAAGGACATGCAGCAATTACCAGACGATCCATCTACCGTGTCTGTGTTAGAGGTTACGGATGGCCGATGGCTGTGTATGCAAGTTGCTAGGGATGACAACCGCGCCGTAGAAAACCATGGAGTTAATGGAAAGTTTGTCAAGGCTCGGTTCAATCAGTAATCAAGAATGCTGAGCTGGTTCATGCAGGTGTGGTGTAGTGAACATCCGCAGGCAGACAGCGAAATCGAGAGAGCGTGGCCGCGGCAGTGTTAGCCCTATCCGGAATAGCGTCTTTGGTGCCGCAAGATGCCCGCAGGAAGCCGGGACATCTGGATCCACCGATGATTAGTGACGTATCGACCTCGTTAACTCCGAACAGCGAAGCTCTTTCGATGATGATTAATGGGACATGTGGGGAAGACACGTTAAGATATCACGATCCCCTCTTCCTTCCACCAAACACCGATCAATTGAAGCACACGAACAATCATGTCATACAGCAGAGTAGGAGTCGTCACCGGCGCGAACAAGGTACCTACACACGACCACAGCCTCTTCGGGAGTACCAAACTAACATTGACAGGGCATCGGACGCGCCATCGTGCAGCAGCTCGCCCTGCAATACCCCAAGTCGCCGCTCAACAACGGACCCTTTCTGATTTATCTGACGGCTCGCGATCAGGGCAGAGGAGAAGCTGCCGTTAAGGATTTGGAGCAAGATGCGGCATTGAAGCAGGCCAAGGCATTGAAGGCCGATGGTGGTCTCTCTGAGATCAAGTTCCATCTGCTTGACATCACAAGCAGTAGCAGCATCAAGACCCTTGCGGACCACTTGAAGCAAGCTCATGGGGACGGCATTGACTTTGTCATCAACAACGCTGGTATCGCGTTGGACGGCTTCAGTAAGTATCTCCTTCCAATCTACAATGCGCCGTCCCTAACATGGTCAGATGCCGACCTCGTCAAAAAGACCCTCGACTGCAACTACTACAAGACGCTCGAGGCGTGCCACACCTTCCTCCCCCTCCTCAAGCCCACCGGTCGCATCGTGAACCTCGGCAGCATGGCTGGCAAGCTCAACAAATACTCCGAAGAAGTTCGCAACCGCTTCCTCGCCTCCAAGACCGAAGAAGATGTCACAAGCATCATGAAGGACTTTGTTGCTGTTGTCGAAGCTGGCAAGGAGAAGGACGCTGGCTTCCCTAGTGCCGGGTATGCTGTGAGCAAAGCAGGATTAATTGGAGGCACACGGGCGCTGGCCAGACAAGAAAAGGAGAAGGGAAGCAAGGTATTGATCAATACCTGCTGCCCAGGTTATGTTAACACAGACATGACAAAGGGTAAGCAAACCTTTCCCCGTGTGCACCATGTGAGACATGTACTGACTCTATACACCAAATCTAGGCAACGGAACGAGGACTGTAGAAGAAGGCGCTCAAACCCCCGTAATGCTCGCGATCCACGACATCCAGAACAAGACAGGTGCTTTCTGGCAGTACGAGAAGGAGATCGACTGGGTTGGTTAGAAGTATAAAGGACCAAAATAAAATGTATACTCCACGATTGCTCTCTATGGTGGTCTCACTCGTACCTGTGACTAACGAGTTACGCGCTTACATGCAGATCATGCAGGCCAGAATTCTTTGTCAATACACGTTATGCGCCACCAAAGACGCCCGTTCAGTTACGTACCTTGTAATACAGCACTCGCATATGATCAGAAGGCGAGATCTTACATCCACCCCCACATATCACATATCACACTGCATGTAAACGCCGATATCAGTTTCACATAAATACTGCGTCTATGCAAACAAGTTCCTCATTCCAACCATGTCCACCTTGCCCATAGTCGCCTAGAAACTAGAAAAGCCAATCTAAGCAAGGTTCCTCCGCTTGCAACCTTTTCAACATGCACCTTACTACTCTTACGTTCTCTTCAACTCTCGCCATCTCCGCAACTGCGGCGCCCACTGCACCCGGGCCTCCCATTTGCGGTACCATCTACCTACAAGGCGGCAAGACCCAAGTTATCTACGGTGACGCTTGCTATGGGATCACGGGCAAAGCGCTATCAGCAACGGTGTCTGAGGCGTGTGGATGCGATTTCTCACAGTAAGTCTTGTCGCCTAGAAGACGTCGTGAAGTAGATTGGGTTGACGGGAGTGCAGGTGGGATACATGCGATGCGGGAAAGTTGACGGCGAGAAGTATCACTGGGGTGCCGATTAAGGAGGCAAAGGGGTATTGGTGTATTTTGCATTAAGATGAAGCGTGTGGTGCAGAGAGAGCAATTCTTCCTTCAACTGTACTTCTTTGGTAAATTCATAACTTTTTTGCATAAATGCTCATAACCATCGGCCTGGATGCCTGCTACATCTCTTATGCGGCAATGTGACTACCAAAGTGAGATAAGATGAAGACCCCGAGAGTAACGTATGCCGCAGAGACACAGGCTCCGAAATGATGAACGACCTCGCACTTCTCAATCTGATGTCGAAGTCGGTCTTCCATAAGCAATCATTTAACATGCCGAGTGCCTATCGCTTGGCTCAATTGTCACCGAGGACGTTGGACAACGAGGACCACTGCTTTTTGAGCTGGCTCAGCTGCTTCTCGGAGTCTGCGTTCATCTTGACCTTCTCCTTCTCGTGCGCCAGTTCGCTTTCCAGCTGCTCGATTCGTTTCTTCTGTGTCTTGACTAACTTTCTAGATTTCGCGTGTCCATCGAACTCTTCCGAAAACCATTCACTGTACTTGCCGGAATCGAATTTTGACAGGGAGAGTTCGTTCGTTGTTGCGTCCAGCTTATCTTTGACCGTAGCGAGCTCTTCATGAGCTGCACTCAGTGCGGCCTGGAAATCGGACAGGCAGTTCGCAGTAAGACTCAGAGTTCTCTTAGTCTCTTCGAGATCATGAATCATGTCTTCGAACATGGTGTGCAACTTTGTCTGCGCGTTGTTGGAATTCTGGAGCTGTTGCTTCTGTATAGTCACTTCAGCCATCTCAATCGGCAGGGGATATCATGGTGAGGATATTTACCGCTACTCGCAGACGATCAACTGGCGTAGTCGCAAGCCTGTTCTCGGCATTGCCCGAGGGGTGGTCTGTTTCTTTCGCTCGCGCCATATCGGTATCGTGAAGTCGAATCAGGTCTCTGTGAGATGGCTCAATGTTGCAAATTAGTAGTAGGAGTATGAACCTGAAGATTCAGATGCGGAAGAGAACGGTGTTATATTGTGCTTGGGGAGCACTGGACAGGTAAAGCTGGCTGCCGCCTGAGAATACGCAGGTGAAGTCTGCGATAACACACCGCAGGTCACTGGATGCAAATATGCTATGCAACAAGAGAAAAGGCCGGTCAATCGAAGCTGAAGGTGATCCAATATGTAGCAGATTGAGATGGCAATGAAAGATCACAGTTTACACACGCATGGCACACGTTACAGAAAGCGAACGGGATGCGCATGTGCTCTCCCACGAACTTCCTATTTACATCGCCAGAACAATACCTGAGTATGAGACTACCGATGCAGAGTGTGTTAAGGACGACCACTACGGTCCTTGTAAACGTGATGCTTCCAAAGGTGCCAACGCGAAGGCGGACGGATCGCGGTGTGGAAAGCCTTCGCAAACCAGATGTAACGTCATACCTGATTGGTAAGGCGTTTAATTTGATTTCTAAACGGCCAGTGCCTGCATCAGTGCTGCACGATTGAGCTCAAATCATTGCGACAAGATCGTGGTGGTGACATAGGAACTCCTAAAATCAGACGGCCAATCGAGTATGCCGGCGCGCTAGCCTCATTAGCGCTTTCCCCCAGCCACAGAGCTCACGAAGCCTCGAGCCCGAATCAACCCTTAACCATCTGGAGTGCCTTCGCATCGCACACGAGCATCTGCTGCATCCAGCACAGTCAGTATTCCCATGGAAAATGCAAGTCGCCGGGACTGTTGCCGAAGGGCTGTCAGAGGCGAGTCATGGCGGATGACGCTGCGGGGAAGGAACCCGTCAGGCACCTGTTGGATATTGTTCTCCGCATGAGCATCGACAACCCCAAGCTGTTCCAAGCAGGTACTTGCATGCAGCAGCATAGCTGGCTCTTCCAATGATAGTATACTAAGATAATGCGGGCTGGTTCCGATGTGGTAGTATAGGTCTAAGATACAAATATCAGGATGCGGCCCTCACGCGTCGCGTTATTGCTTCCAGTCTTCCACTGCGCATACCCTTGGATACTCTCTATTGGCATACAGCTCATACCTAGATCATGGGAAACCACGCGCTGATTTACGGTGCTTCTGGCATCTCGGGATGGGCCATCGTCAATGCCATCTTGAACGGATACCCTTCCAAGGATGCTTTCTCCAGAGTTACAGCTATGGTCAATCGTCCGCTGACACGTGAGATGGCTCTCTGGCCTGACGACCCAAGACTGCAAATCGTGTCCGGTGTCGATCTGGTCAAGGGGACACAAGAAGAGCTCGAGAAGCAGATCAAAGAAAAGGTCAAAGATGTTGAGACCGTGACCCAAGTGTACTTCTATTGTAAGTAACAACTGTTAGAAGGAATCACAGGGTCTGACATTACCAAGCATACAAGCAGATCGACGAACCACAATCCGAGTGCAAGACCAACGAAGCGATGTTGGAGCGCGCCGTGACTGCGATCGATCATCTGTCCTCCAAGCTATCATACGTACTGCTTCCGACGGGGACCAAGATCTACGGTTGCCAGATGTTGGACAGGTTCCCTTTCGCAAACGACCTACCACTCAAGGAGACGCTGCCACCGATCCCCGAACCGTACCTTTCCCAGCTTTTTTACTACAATCAAATTGACTGCTTAAAACGCATCTCCAAAGGCAAGAACTGGAGCTGGTGCGAGGTCCGACCGGACAACATCATTGGTTTCGTGCCAAACAACAACGCATACTGCCTTGCGCAAACACTGGCATTGTACCTCTCGCTATATCGATCTGTCGAAGGCGAAGGCGCGAAGTGCCCATTCCCTGGTACTGAGAAGTCATGGGTGAACAAATACAATGAGTCTCCTCAAGATATGGTCGCGCACTTTTCCATCCACGCGTCTTTGAACCCGGAGAAAACGGCGTCGCAAAGCTTTAACGTGGGCGGTCAGGAAGATAGCTGGAGCGGCAAGTGGCCGGTAATTTGCGATTACTTCGGTCTGAAGGGTACCGGACCTGAAGAGGGCTCACCACAGCCAGGCGCGTACATTGACGCGCACAAGAAGGAGTGGGAGGAGCTAGAGAAGAAGCACAATCTCAAGAAGGGAAGCGTCGATAGCGATATTACACATCCCGGATTCCAGGTATGTCGGATATCTGGTTGCGTCGTGTACGCGTGCAGTAGCTGACCAGTATTAGTACTTCATCATGACGATGTTCGACTTCGACCGCCAGATGAGCATGGAAGCTTCGCACAAGGTTGGATACACGGAGGAGATTGGAACGAAGGAAACGTGGACGACTGCGTTCGATCGTATGAGGAAAGCGAAAGTGATACCCTGATGCTGTGAAGGAAACCTTGGAAGAGTGTGTTGTGAGTGTTTAGGGGACCTTAAGGGCCCGGCAAGTGGCCCAGGTGGGCCTTCCAAGCTCGTGGCTGCCCGGGCCCCCGCGCCATCCCCATTGGCGAACACAACTTGGAGTTTCAATATATTCCTGTTTGATATGCGCGACTCTCAGCCAAAGTCTCACTGCTTATAAATAGCGCAAGGTCGGTCAATTGCTAGAGCTATGACGCTAGCCGTCGGTCTCAGTTGGACTCCTGTTTGCTGCGCCCCCACAATGCCGCTGAAGCAGCACCATCTAGGCGACTGATGAACAGTCTCGATATCCTCCGATGCTCCCATCTGCGGGAGGTCCGCGAAACAAGCTGGCTCTGAAGGGCCTGGGCGTAGTGGCCTTTTTCTGCATAGGTGCGTCGCGTCAGCGTTCCAAGGTACCGGGCGCGTTAGACTCAACTACAGTTGTCGCATTGGGACTCCAAGATGCTGCCCATGTTGGACACCTGGGTCCTCATTGTATGGTGCTAACATCTCTATAGTGATCCTGCTGCTGATGTCAAGCTTTCCCCACAAACGACCAGGCGCGAACCTCAACCTCCCACTACGTATACTTCCGCTCGGCGACTCGATAACTTGGGGGGGCCAGCCGGGTGCAGACAACGGGACAGATGGATATCGCGCACAATTAATTCACGCGCTTATACGTGCGCGTTACGCGTCGGTGAACTTTGTCGGCACGCAGCGCTCTGGGCTCATGCCCAACAATGACAACGAGGGGCACCCAGGGGCCACAATCAGCGAGCTTCAGGCCGTGATGAAAGCTGGACTACAGATGCGACCGAATGTCGTCTTGTTGCACATTGGCACGAACGATATGGCTCGTCCTGAAAGCCCAGAAGAGAAGTGGGCAGATGCGCCGAAGCGTTTAGCAGCGCTGTTGGACGACGTGCTGGACATGTGCCCGGACGCTGCGGTGCTGGTCGCGAAAATCATACAGGGAGCGGATATGCAGGCGCAGGAAAACATCAAGAGGTTCAATGATGCCGTGCCTGCGGTTGTGAAGAAGAAGCTTGATCAGGGCTTCAAGGTTGCGCTTGTTGACCACAGCGTCGTCCTGCCCGAGGAGTTAGTTGACGGGCTACATCCGTAGGTGTTCCGCGGTTACCTGTGGCTTGAAAGCACGTTTGCTAATCGAATCAGGTCCTATTCCGGGTACTTTCACATGGGAAACATCTGGTTCGATGCTATCAAAGCTGCCAGTGGCCTAGGGGTCATAACACCGCCCGTCGCACCACAAGAAACATGACCCGCGCGTGTCGCACCCGTCTATAGCCAACTAGTTGTCAGAACTACCACATCGAGCTTCACGACACACAATCTCCCCTGAAAGTGGTGACGACGCAGACTGCCTCTCAGGTTGCACAGATATCTCACATGCGAGCTTGATACCTAGGTACCCACGAAGCAGTCAAGATTGTCAGACCGAGCACAACAGAAGAACGAGTGCGTGTGGCACTGTGACCACGCTATAGGCGACCACGTCCGGGCCAGTCTTCATCGATACCATGCAATTCGTCTTGCTTACTGTGCTACGCTCACGATTCAAGCCTGATCATGCCATTACCATGCGCGAGTCGCATGGATCGGCCATACGCTCATTCGCTAGCCCCGACTGTGGAAACCTGCGCGGGGTCAACATGCGGGCAGGCGGGGCGCCCACGCTGCATCACGCTAAAGCATATCCAACCCCGACTATGGAAGTTTGCCCTTCTCACAGAAGGCGTGATCACTTTTTGCACGTCGGCAATATCTGCAAAGCCGCCACAGTGGAATGACAGATGCTGTGGAACAAGACAATCTGGTTTCTAGTGCCTCGCGGTTAGTCGGCTAGAATTGTCAGACGCTTTTGGCAAGTCTTCTTGACAGCTCTGCATATATGGCGTCGGATATGCTTTGGCGAGCTGCTGCCGCTATGGCAGCGACGGATGACTACGCGTTGTAGTGCATGTAGCGTCATCGTCACAGGGATCGGTCGGCTTTGGTATATCTCAATCGTCGTGCGGTTCGTGTCTTGTTCAGCCTTAATTTATTTGTGTCAGCCTGGTTGTTGATTTCTGTTTCTTCCGACTCTTCGTCAAAAAAACGACTGAATAGAGAGCGAACCTCACCATGGGTTTCGTAGACGAGGATCGCGTTCGTCTGATCGCGATCTGGGCACCCGCTGCAGTACGTCTTTCAGCTCTCCTCTTGACATTGATCTGACAATCCTAGTTCGTCGCATATGTAGTCTTGACTGCAATCTACAATCTCACACTTCACCCTCTTGCCAGATATCCTGGCCCGCTGTTATGGCGTATCTCGCCCATTCCCTCGATAATATCCCTGTTACGCGGCCGCATCGCCTTCGACTACAAGGTCCACCACGACAAATACGGGCCCGTAGTGCGCGTCATGCCCAATGAGCTCTCCTTCAACACAGCAAAAGCTTGGGACGATATTTACGGACATCGAGTCGGGCTTGCGAACATGGACAAAGATCCTATCCACGTCGGTGCTGTAGAAGCGATTCCAGGCGCGACGAATTTGACCATGGCTCCTG